CTGATGAAAGTTGGTGTTGCGAAAAGTTTAGCTTAGATGCAAAGGGTGCCACCGCATGATGACAACAAAAAGCCTGCGAGCCACTGTCATGCCGCTCACACACGGAGCGTAAAAATCCATACCAAATAATGGCCGGATAAAGGACGGTAGGGAATCTGTTTCACTACCTTTGAATTAATCTTTAGATTAAAGGAGTAATTTATATAGTTAGATAACTGATCCTTATAAAGAGTGATTAATGTTTAGACACCAAATTCCATTCCAAAATCTCAGAATCCTTAACTGTCGGAAATACATGCCATTCCTCAATCATCGTTGTAAACAAACATAAATGCGCCCTCTTCTTGGATTCTTCATATAGGATTATCTTTCCTAAATACATGTACTTGTTTTGTATCATTTTTTTCTATCAGAACAGGCTTCCCATGCATGAACCTAGAAGGAGATTATCTATGCAGAGATAATAAACATAACCAAGACTGAGTACCATGCCAAGTGTCTCCATCGGACATTCCTTTGCTAGTCCCACACCCCGTCAATCCACAACAATTTTCTGGTGACCCTGACGTGATGCCAATTTGCATCCCAGAAGTCCAGCTAGTGGCTTGACACATTTTGGTTACCATGGAGTCCCACCTAAACATTACCCGCCGAGCTCTGCGCTCCCATGCAGCGGCATCAACTGCTGGAAAGCAACCCGATGCCTCAGCACCACAGCCAGATGATCAAGGCAGTGTTTAGCATTCATCGCAGAGCGGAGGCAGCGGAAGTCCCAGAAGAATCTCCATTTGCGACAACAAGAGCTCGCCCTTACCAAGCTACGCATGGAGATTGAAATGAACTCAAGAGCAGAGCAAGATGCAATCGATGAACGGCTACGTGAGACTCAGCAAGCTCGCCTATCAGCCCTGAGTGAAGAGCAACGTCTTCTTAAGAGAAAGGAGGCCCTCTCCAGGCAGGTGGAGCTAGAACTGCAGCTGTGGAATGCCAAGATCAACCTTGCACATGCCGAACTTGACTCTGAACTTGTTTCCAAGGACACTTTAGGGGAACAGAATCCTTTGCCACTTGAGGGGCCAAGTATTGGTAACCAAATACCTCAGCAGCAAGCTTTACGTGCCACAAATGTACATGTGAGCCATGATTTACCTGACGACGGCGATGTGTAGTCATATTTACCTGTGGCACCGTCTGCGATTACCGTGCCGCTAGCAACTGCTGCACTGCCCCTGCCTTTGATGGCATCACCACAACTGGTGATTGCTGTGTCTGAAGCTAACACAGCATTGCGTCAGCCTATGAGGGCATTGTCGAAGCCACAAGTTACCGTGCCTCCAGTTAGTGCTGCTTTGCCTATGAACGTGACCGTACCGCCACCATCAGCAATTACCGTGCCTCAAGCAAGCGCTGCTGTGCC